TATGAGGCTGCTTGGCCTGCTGTGTTCATCCAGCTCTACACCTTGTTATCTTAGAATGAACTTAGTGTTTAGAATCTCCCCAAAGGCCTGCAAACAGACCCAATTAGTATATATTCTCAATGATAATTCATTCAGTCTAGGGTTGTGGCCCCCATTTTGACAGTACATGGGCACAACACCTTGCCTTTGTGTATATCTTAATGACGGTTCTGTGCAGGTGCAAGCAAATTAAAACATGGGAACAGTTTCTGCTAGGAATGCGATTGGCAATCTGCGCGCAGGGTGAGTCAAAAGTTGCACAATTTTTGAAGAAGTGCTCTTTATTTTCTCCCACGTTTCTGCTCAAATTCATTTGTATATCACCAATGAGAAAAAAATGCGTATAACCAGCAAAACTAGGCAGATTTTCTAAATCAACTTCTTTAAAAAATGAATTTTGCGTTAAAAATATTCCTCAAGAAATTTAAGAGTGATAATTTGTTCCAGTTTCATTAATATCAGTTGAAAATGGGTGTGTTGCAACGAGTAAGAATATTCAAGTGCAGTGCCAACCCACAGGCTGTATTTGCAAGATTGGCAATGACGTTGAAAACTATATTCAACATTTATTAGTTATTATTTCTAAAGTAGTCAGTTTCTTAGTAAAGTAGAAAGAAATTCAAAAGCTATAAAATGTGAGTATTAATGTTCTTGTGCCCAAAATAACCATCCTAATGCTAAGAGTTGCCTAAGACACGTTATGACATACCTCTAGTGAGACTTGGACCCAGATCTTCTGGCTCAGAGGTACGGACATTACCACTATACCACAACAACCCTCAATAGAGCCTCCTTAGAATCTTGCCCAATTTACAGAAACTCTCAATGGTGATTAATGCAAACTTTCATTGTGGCTAGTTTTATGGAATGGCTTCTTGCTGACTATTTTATACACTAGCACAAAAGACTGGAGAAACTCGATTTGCACTGAATGCATTTGTGTTTCGGATTCTGTAAGGTTTTGCACTGATTTGGTTGATTCCAGTTTAAAAAAAAGTCAAGCAACTGAGTGGAAGCTCCACCCCATGG